GGTGTGCCAGAATGGTGCGGGTCACCACGCGGACGCATCCACTGGTTGCCCACAGCCCATCAGGAAGTGAGGAATGCGGATGGGGGAGGAGGGACAGGTGAGGCCATGTTGGGTCGAAGCCATTTCGCCGAGAGCGCCTCTCGGGACTATCGCGCGCCCCGCCGCGAGCGCCACCGCTCTAAGCAGGCATCCCGCCCTGCGCGACCAGGGTTTTGGGGAAGGGAGGAGGCGGAGGGAGGAGGAGGAGGAGGAAGAGAAGGAGGAGGATCATCATGTTGTTGGGGGGCATGTTCGTCCACACCACTGGCCGAGGCCACCCTGTTGTAACTGGCCTGCTTGCTGTCGGCGAAGGTAGTCCGTCCGCCTTTCTGAGGGGGGGGCATCCGTGCCCCGAGATGGCGGAGGAGGGCGAGCGCAGGTGCTTGCCCGCAAAGGCAGCCTCCATTGGGTTCGATCGACTGGGCGCTTGAGCCCCCCTCCGCACCGCCCTGCCAGTGGCTCCACCGTGTTTGCCGCAGCTGCCACGTGCAGGGACAATGGCCTGCGAGGAGAGTTCCGCGGGTGGCCCCAAGTAAAGATCAACGCGTCAAGGCCGAGAGCGCTGTGCGAGGTGAGGTGTCTTCCGGGGCAGGCCTCCAGCCCCATGGACCCGAAAGCCTCCTCGGTGCACTTGGTCTTGCAGTCCGCACAGCTGCGCTTCCCGTCCTCTCCCCCCCCCCCCCCTCCCACGAATCGGCGGCGCGCGATGGGGGGAGATGCGAGGGAGAAGGTCTCAGAAGGCGGCGGGGCTCCTCGGAAGCCCTATGGCGCCTTCTGAGAAGCTGTTTGCGTCTAGGGGGAAGGCTTAAATAGGAACCTTCTCTGGAGGCCGGGGGAATTCCGAGCCTTCTGAGAAGGCCTGCCCCTTCTCATTTCCCCCTTGGGCGCCCCGCCGAACGAATGACGGAAGCGGGGGGGAGAGGGAGCCTCAGGGCCGGGAGGAGGTGGGGATATCAGACGTTGTGCGCCGCTTCTCTGACGTTCTGCGCGCCAGCAGGGACTGGCGGCGCAGCAGCCCTGTCACGAGTGTCGAACGCCTTCTTACTCGTGCGAGGGCCCACGGGCTCCCACAAACTTAGTGCTGCAGCAACATGCACCAGCCAGTTCTTGAGCTGCGTGGTACTGTTCTCTGTCGACTCTACTTCTGAGGTCGACGGACGGAGCAAACTCTGGGCCCCTAGCTTATCATCTTTGTCGGTGAAGCCATTGCCTGTGGCATCGAGCCACTCTTCCGATCCTTCCGTGACGGTGGATTGATCGTGATGCGGTTTTATCTTCACGCACTTGCGGTGTTCGTGCCATGCCGCGCTGTCTTTTGACAGGGTCGTGAGGCCAGCATATTGACGTTTAGTATTGGTGGTACTGACGCACATTTAGCACTGATTCATAATCAGTGCTTGTCTTTGTGATTGAGCAAGGGGAGGAGGAGGAGGAGGAGGAGGAGGAGGAGGAGGAGGAGACGGCAGAAAGCACAGCAAGGTGCTCAGCGGAGGGGGGGGGCTTGCGGAAGACTGCGGCCCAAGACCTCCGTCTAATTCGCTCATGATTGACAACTGCTGCAAAACTTGAGGAATGGTAGTCAGGGTGACCCTGCTTTCAGCAGGATCCGTCCGTAGAGACTTCGCCTTTGAAAATCTGCCAGGGCGTCAGACCCTCGTTCTTGCTCTAGAATTTGACCTTTTCTGGGCTATCCCCGAGGCCCGCATGAGGGTTGACCGAAAAGCCAGGCCTCTCTGGGAAGCCAGCCTGCAGTGGAAACTCTGAGAACTCCTAGAGTCTTTCGATCTCGAACTGGGAAACATCTCGGCGAAGGGTCTCAGCAATTGGGCAGCCCACGAGTCTATGATGAAGGTCCCGAGAGCGTCCGCACTTGCATTGACGTGTGGTTGGATATCCAGCCTTTTGCGAGCATGACATGGTCCAAACTCCTTGGGTGGGGAAGGCCTTGAGGGTGATGTTCTCTGAGTCCGGGAGGAGAGGTGCCTAGCGTTGATGATGTTTGCCAACATAACTGCTGATACCACGCCACCTGGAGCCAGTGCTGGAGTAGCGCTGGAAAGGTCGTGCTGATCTGCAGAGACGAACGGGCCGACGAACCTCCACCCCACTTCCTTCGCATTCAAGATGGCTGCTCCGAACGGGCCGCGACACTGACTCCATCTGGTTGGCGGAGGTTATATTACTGGTCCTCTCATGGCACGAAGAGCTGGAAGATTGTAGCCAGGCGCATGGTCTCCTATCACTGCCCTCCACACAAGGGAACAAGGGTAGCCCACAGGAGGACAGGTCCCTCTCTAGGCCTCCAGCAGGGGTCCCCAAGACTAAATAATGCCAGGGTAGATGGCCGCGTGGTAGTACCTGGACCAGATATCTGCAAGCCGTATGGGATCTATGTGGGATCCCATACTGGGCGCATGGGATCTGTATCGTTTCCCATACAGGCCGTATGGGATGTGTGCGGGATCTCATACAGGCCGTACGGGTTATGCGTGGAATCCCATGCAGGGCGCATGGGACCTGTATCGGATTCCATGCAGGCCGTATGGGGTCTGTATCGGATCCCATACAGGCCGTATGGGATCTGTGTGGGATCCAATTCAGGCCGTATGGGATCTGTATCGGTTCCCATACATGCCGTATGGGATTTGTGCGGGATCTCATAGGCCGCATTGGGAGTTGTAGGCCCTGCAGGGTCTCCGTAGGGATCTTACCGGAGCCTCGCCGGTGCAAATATCGGAATCCGCTTAGGGTTTCGTCGGGGGAACGTAGGGGAGCATTCTTCTTCTTCTTATTATTATTATTTTCGTTGGGTTGCTGGGTTGCTGGGGGGGGTGCTAGCCACGCGTCCTTGTGATCCGCCTTGGGTACTAGGGACGAGGCGGTCACAGCGAGCGCACGGGACGCGTCCCTCATGGCCGCCTTGACCATGTTGTTCCCTCTCTTTTAGTCCCGATCTGAAGTCCACCCCCAGGTCGGTTGCATGGGAAGTGGTAGAGCCCGAATATTTCACAATACTTCTGGCAAGCTTTTTCTGGATAGCTCTGATGGACCCAACGACTGCCGACTTGCCGATTTTGAAACTGCAACCTTGCACTTAAACTCGAAGCGGCTGGCTGTTAAAATATTGATGGCCTAGTGGCGCCGCTGGTTGACGATTGTGTCCTTGCACTCGTGAGTGCAAAGCAGCAGCAGGTCATCGATAAACATGTAAAGCGAGACCTGCACATTAGACGTCCAGACGTCGATGGGGATTTATGCAATACATCTGCACCAAGAAGGTTGCGAAATTGCACCCTGCGGGTATGCCGAAGGTAGGGATGGTTGCGAAGGATGCATGATTCTATGATTGAGGATAAGCATACGTTGGCCCCGATATAGCTATAAGAGTGGGTGGATAAGATAGTACCTTTGAGAGGGAGGAGGAGGAGGAGGAGGAGGAGGAGGAGGAGGCGAAGGAGAAGGAGAAGGAGAGGAGCGAGAAGGAGGAAGTGGGGAGGGGATGCCGAGGAAGAAGGAGTAGGGAAGAGGGGATCAGGAGGGCCCCCTCTCTCGCCCCCCCTCCCCCTCGTCCTTCGTCCCCCCCCCCACCAGCCCTCTCCCGCGACGCGGCCGCGCTCTCTCGCGGCGGCCGCTCGAAAACAAAAAATATCCTTGCGAAGGGCCCGACATATGCAGTCGGGCGGGTAGTGGGGGTAAATGAGAGGTGGCTCTAAGGGTTCCCCTTGAGGGCCTTTTGTTCACCCTCCATGTAGATCACCCCCTATTACCACCCACCCGATGCAGTCGGATGGGAGGAGGGAAGAGGGGGAGGAGAGTGGAGAGTAGAGGAGACGCAGGGCGCTGTCTCTTCAAAACGAGGACCTGACACCACAGGATGGTTGGGGAAAGGATATCTGGGCGGAGGACCCAGCCGTGTGCAGTTGCGAGTCCCGCAAGGCAGGTGACACGAAGGAGGGGGCGAGCAAACTACGAACAGCGTCGGAAGCGGTCATCTCCTCGCAGGCAGCGCGCCGCAGAAAAGACGGGTCACGGGGCAGCGTGGATACGCGGCGGCGGACGGAGAAGAGGAGGACGAAGGAGGAGGAATGAGGAGGAGTCGGAGAAGGAGGAGGAGGAAGAAGAAGAAACAGAGGAATTAGGATGAGGGAGGGCGAGGAAGAGGAGGCTCGAGGCAACCCTAAAAAGCTCCAAGCACTCGTCCCAACAGATCCCTGGAGGCTCCAGGAGGCCTCAGGATGATGACGAGCAGTGTGAGGAACTCTGATGGGTTATTGAAGGATCGCGCAAGAGCACGCAGCACTGCACAGCATAGCATGGAGTATCAAAGTATGCCACGTCATGGCATTGCATACAAGGCATAATGCTGTTTGACTTAAGCTCCTTTTGTCTAGGTCCCTAAATTCTTGCTGGACCCTATTCAGTTTTAAGAACATGTCGAGGTAGGCTTAGGGCTGCTGGGACGGTCTCGGTCCCTGCTCAATCGTCGGAGTTCTTTGCATTCGTTGTTGTCGTCGGATTATTTAGTTGGCGCGGAGGGAAACGAAGCAGGAGGGGGAGGAGGAGGAGGAGTCGGCATTGCACCATGCATCGGTCGTTCCTGGGGGACTCGCGCAGAGCGATGGGTGGACGTGGTGGCACCAGTTCTATTCAGCGCGTGGGCCGCCTTTTCGGGCGGAGACGAAGAATGGAGGAAATGAGGGGGAGGAGGGGGAGGAGGAAGAGGAGGACGAGGAGGAAGAGAGGATGAGGAGCCTGCCAACGGAGACCTGAACGATTTGGGGGACTTCGGCGGCGCCTGGGCGTCGTCGTCGTCGTCGATGGAGGAGGAGGAGGAGGAGGAGGAGGAGGAGGAGGATGAGGAGGAGGAGGAGGAGGAGGAGGATGAGGAGGAGGAGGAGGTTGAGGAGGATCACTAGGAGGAGAAGGGCGACGACGACGACCACCGAGAGGACGTCGACCGCCAAGCCCATTTGTGCTCCGGGGGGCCAGCTTGGGGTCTCGCCTGGCCCGCCGGAGCGGCCGGCCATGGTGGAGATCCCGTGGCAGGGCCACGGAGTGGACCTCGCGAGGCAGGACAGAGGGCAGGAGGGAGCAGAGGGAAGAGAAGGCCCTCCTCCTCCTCTTCCTCCTCCTTTTCCTCTTCCTCCTCCTCCTCCTCCTCTTCTTCCTCCTCCTCCTCCTCCTCCTCCTCCTCCTCCTCGTCCTCCTCCTCCTCCTCCTCCTCCTCCCTCTCCCCTGTTCTTCCTCCCCCCCTCAATCAAATTAGGAGGGGTCGCCGTTGTTTGGCCCGAGCGTCGACCCAGATTTACTTACGGTATGAACAGTTAAAGGCTCGTAATATACATCTGAATGCCGCCATGCTTCCAACCCCTGCAATTTGAGTTGGGTGGCGGAGCTGGGAGCGATCCCAACCCGCGATCCACGGAACGTGCGAAGAGTGCGGTGTGGCCGCACATTCGCATTTACCTTCAGTTCCGCAGCGGTACCACCCTCCATTCCTTGAATAGCCTTTGCTTATGGTTGTTCTGCAAGCCAACCGGCAGCTCGCCTCGGACATCCGGTCCCGCTGAGAGGGCAACAACAGAAGGCGTAACCGCGATGAGGAGCGATTCGCCAACAGGAAGCCACGACGTTCTTCGACCCATCGCAACCCCACAGGCACTGGCCGCAGCATCGCGTCGGGCATGACTGCGAGGGCCCATCCTGGGCTAGCGCCGTGTTTCGGCACGTGTGCGATCGTGGTGGCTCTCGTTGCGAGCACATCGCGCCACCCGAGCGGAACACTGCAAGTCAATGCGCCGATTTCATGGACCAGGGGTAGACAACGACATCATCATGGCTGCCCCGCACATCGACATGGCGGTCGTCCTTGCGCAGGCCGAGTAGCAGGCGCTTTCGCAGCCATCATCGCGGTGAGGTTCTATCGAAGACGATTTCCACTTTGACGCTATGTGGCAGCATCCTCGCGTGATTCGTGGCCGTCTTGTTTTGGCTCACAGGCACGATGCCTTGTGGAGCCGGCCCACAGGGCGGCGTCGGCCGCGGTGCCATCACATCCCGCCATCCGCCCTCACGGTCACTTGAGCGCGAGTCCATGTATTTTTTCCGCCACAGGGTACAGAACGTGCTCGCTTGGAGCGTGCTAGCCACCGACATGGACAGCGGTTAACAACTCGTTGCCGTCATCTTCAACCTCGGCGGGGCCGCTCGCGAGCTCACGCGTTCCGAAGCTTCACGGAGATGGCGGAGGGAAACATGGTCAACGACCGGCAAGAGGACACCGTGACCTACCTCATCGCGAACCTTGCCACACAGTTCGGCCCACCAGGCGAGGAGTCGTGCCTCCAGACAACCCACGAACACATCGAGTTCTCGGGACGACGCAACGAAACCACCGACGCGCTGCCCGCGCGGTTTCTCACGTTGCGATACCGAGCTACGCACAACGGTGGAGCTGCGATGTCGCGGGAAGGCTAAAGCTGGTTGCTCATCCGAGCGGTCGGCGTCACAGCTAGCCTATTCACGACGCTGCTCCAGCCGCGCGGCAGCCGATGCCCGGCCGCAGAGGCCGAGCTCAACAGTCTCACGAGCATGGTCTTGCGCGTGGGTCACACCGTGGAGCGCTCACAAAACAACAGCACCAGCGCCCGTCGTGCGCCGCCATCTGTCGGAGCAGTCGCCGTCGTGGCCAATGGCGACGCCAGCAGTGCACGCGGCCCCCGGCACGCTCGAGGTCTCGACCCCTGGGCCGCCAGCGCCGCCGAGCTTCCTGGAACTGGAGATGCCCTGGCGCGCGCTACCGGCCCGTCGCAGAGCGCCGCGCCGACGCCGGCAACGTGCCCCGCCGCCGCGCGGGCGCCCGCGCGCGGGGCCGACTGCGACAGAGTACCTCCTCTAATCCAAGCTCGGACCCAGGCGGAGAAGTCAATTACCATGCACCCGAGCTCCAAGGTCTCTGCCCTGCCCAGATGGATGCTGAGTTGTTCCGGCAGATGAAGATTGCCAGACGACACAGGCGCAGACGCATGCAACGCCCCGCTCGCAAGGCACGCAGAGCCACCAAGAAGAACAGCAGCAGCTTCTCCAGAAAAGGTAACAGCAAACACAAGGGCCCCAAGAAGTACGTATTCGTCATGTAATTCCCTGATACCCCAATAGATCAGGTTTTCTAATGTGGAATAGAGACGAAGAACAGGCAAACGCTCTTCAGGCGAAAGAAAAGGCAGACGCCGCCATCCGAAAGGCTACGACGGGGCCGCCACGACGCAAAACATCTACGGGAGCGAGCGCCACCTCCGCGCCGCGCGCCCGCATGACGCCACCATCACCACAGGGCAGCGGCAGCGGCGGCCAGTTCGGAGGTTGCGCAGACTCCGGACCCATAGACGGCACCCTGGACTCCGGCTTTCTTGCCTGGATCTCGGAAGTTGCCTTCGTGGCCGCCGAGGGTCTGCCTCGGCCGCAGCCAAGCCACAGCGCTACGCCAGCGCAGCCATCCGCCGACGGCCCCTGGCAGATGCCTGGATCAGCCCACTGCTCGCGGTCCGCAGCCTCGCCCACCGCGGCCCTGAGCCACGCGTGCGCCGACGCGCCAGTTGTCCTACCACCGCAGCAGATGCACAACATAGCAACACAAACTTCAAGACTTCCCCAACTTCCAGCGTCGCCGCTGCGCCCCGGCGCGGCCGCCGACGCCGCCGCGGAGCCGGAGGCAACCGCCGACGGAGCTCGCCCCTCCGCCAATGCCCCACGGACGGCAGCAGTTCTATGGGGCCCCGCGAGATGAACCCGATCAACTATCCGCACAATTCAGGCGGCACCGTCCATCCGGCAGGCCAACTCGCGGTTCCCGACTATCAGCGCACCACCATATCTCACGTCCGTGGTTCCGGCAAACTCGCGCGCCAACGACGAGGCCACCTAGCGCGAGCTGCCCTGCCAGACAGACAACGCCGCGGACACGAGCACCCAGTCGAAGCACCGACCGCGGCCACCAGGACCAAGGCCGCGCACATCTGGCACCTGAGGTCTCCGTATAGTTGTTTTATACGGCCAGATCGGAGGCCGACCACGATGCCCGGATGGAGCAGCGACGTGCTCACAGCCGTGGGCGCGCCCAACAGATGATCGACATGGTCGCGGCTGGGCCCCCGACCGTCGCGCCGCCGCCGCCATCGGATCTGCGCGCAGAGTCAGAATCACCAGAGTCGACGTCGAGACCGATGAGATATGCGGCATATGTTCGCACCACTGCGTTAACTTGGATGATGTTGTTACTCTCAAGCGTGGCCATCGCTTCCATCAGAGTAGCGCCGACGCCCGGGTCGCCACTCTACGTCGGCGCCCGGGCGCGAGCAGTAGACGAGGCACTCTGGGGCGACCGGGCCTGAAAACCATTCTTCCGTTGCCCAGCATGTAGGCAACACCTGGCAGCGCGGGAGGTCGCGGACAGCCAGATCGACACCGCGCCCCGCGAAGCGCCCACTGAGGACACGCCGCCTGGCGCTAACGGCGTGCTTGATCGCGCCGCGAGACGCGCCGATCGGCGAGATCCCTTTCAGCACTCCTGCATCCACCTGGGGACAGCGGCCACCTCAGGACCCACCGCAAAGCTGCGATGCCGAAGTGCCACCCTGGTTGCCCGCAACTGGCCCAGCAGACGAGCGCGCTGCCCAGGTGCATCGCAGTCACGCGCAGCTCCCTTCAGGCGAGCTCGGCGCCATCGCGGGCCCAGGTGCCCAGACCAACCTCATGGGCGAGCAGCTCGCGCACCAGCTGGGGCGCCGAGCATGGAGGCAGGGTACCGGCCGCAGCAGCTCCTCAAGGGCAAGCCTCGAACACCCCCCTCGCCGTCACTAATGAATATGGCACAGCTATTATCCACAGCTTCATGGCAACCACGGCCAGAGGATCGGGCGGCGATTTGCTCGGCCTGTTCGCCCCGCGAAGCGCGGGGCCCGCGCGCGCGATCGCGGATGTGGGCCACGGCGAGCTGATCTTGCCTGGCGGCGGCGGCACCCAGATCGCGTGGCCCACAGGTGCAGTTTGGATCTCACTGCAGAAGGCTCCGAGCGGACACCTCGCGACGGTCATCGACGACTTCGAGAGGGCTGTGCAGGCCGCCGCCGGCGCGCCCGGCCGCAGCGTTCAGCTGCGCGCCCACGCCGACGAGACGGAGAAGGAGACGGAGGACACGACTTTGCCCGTTGCCCTTTCCAGCCAGGAGGCTGAGCAGCGATCGACACCCGGCTCGCAGAGCATAGGCCCCCACGCGGGGCACCCCGGCACCCTGGCGGGGAAACCAACGCCGTGTCCTAACTGCGCGTCGGTGATTGAGCCCGCGCCGACATGCGCTAGATCTTGGGCGGCACGGATGGCAGATACGAGCGCCCCATCTCACCGACAGCATCTCTCCCCACTTCTCCGTTCGCCTGAGTGAGGTCGCCCGACATGAGAACACCACGTGATTCGAATAACGAAGTCGCCTGGCCTTCTATACCTTGGGAATCGGCCAGTAGTACCAGAGACTTACAACATGATTTTGTTCCGTGCCGAAGACACGAAATACCGTGTGTCGCAACATATTTGGCAAACGATCTGAATCGCACCGTCGGAGTGGTCACGAACCCCGCAGTTGACATGTAGCGACTCATTATCAGGCTCTGCCGACTCGGGCTCACACGCGAAACCGACAACAAGCCATCTACCCAGAAAGCACTCCACATCGCCACGACGCTAAAACAGGAAACCAGCTCGTTGCGCACATGTCCCAGCAGACTCGGCTCGCAGAGCGTCTTGGCACTGGGCGACGGAGCGCCCGCCTGGCAAGGAAAGCGCTTCAGTGGCTTCCCGAGCAAAGCGGATCAAAGCAGAAGTACTGTTCTTTTCCACGTGCGATAAAATTATACATTTCGGTTTGGCCCGAGCAGGGTCTCGTGCTCAGGCGGGGCCTAATATCGTGGGACCCTCGAACGCACTAGCTGCTCTGCTTGGCGAGGAGACTTCGGCGGCTTCGACGAGCACCCTGCAGTCTCCACCCCGGGCTGTTCGTCAGCCTGACAACCTCGAT